GATTCCAAAATGCTTTCAATCGTCAGCCATGAATATCCTCATCACGCTTCTCATACTTGTTACGGTACGTTCATCGATGTTTCCACACGACTGTTATCCACCAAGCAAAGTTCCTACTGCCTTATTTGAGGTGGCCAGAAATAGCTACAGCGAGGAGATGGACAGTTCAGACCAGGCGATCGATGGCGAATACGACTATGAAGATTCCGTTCTCTATTCAGGTCACCATTTTTCTTCTTTATTTGACATCTCAGATTACTTACCCAACTCTGACATTCCAGATGGCATACCAGATTGTGGCAATGACACAAATATGAACTTGACGACTAGATTTGCAGCGTATGAGACACACATTTCACTGAGGTCTGTTCAGCATTCGATGATTACTGTTTGGAAAGACGATTACAATCACACATCACTGCTAAGGGATTGCTTTTAAGACTACAACTAGCAAATGGAAAAGTGAAAAATGGTAAAAATCCTGAGGGTGGAAATTTTGCAACAGCCAGCGACATGAGCATGCAGGTGATAATAGTCTATTAATGGAACTACGTCTTTCTTCTCTAATGGAGCAACCAGAATGTTATTTTCATTTTTCTCTAGACTTACGACTGCGGATTAGAGAGAGCTGCTTTCAACATTTCCAGCATGTGTCAAGGTAGGAGCAGCTACGACTTTTCCAACGTCGGAATTAACATTGCTACCTACGACAACGCGGCAGATGGTGATGACATACTTCGCATAATGCACGGAGTAAGTGTGAAAGCTCATCTTCATTTTTCTGAAGATAAGTAGTCTGATAAGGATATATCATGTTCTGAGCCATTAGGGTCTGAGCGCTATAAAGGCGCCTGTTTCGTCCCACCGGGACTCATCAATAGCATCGTTCTCGGTTCAGCTGTCCCTTGAGGCCATACTCCTCTATGAAAGAATCGATGTAGAGTAATAGATCACTGCAAGTCAGGTGACGGAATTACATCACACTGTAGTATCCGCCAGTCGAGCTCGTGGCCTATGAAATGAGTCATGCCTCGCCATTCTACCGCTCTTTTCTACGATTGCACGACTGACTCAGATACTATAAAAGAGTCCAGGGATCGGCTGAACCGAGGACGTTGCTACTGATGAGTCCCGATAGGACGAAACAGGCGCCTGTGTAACACTAAGACCATATGGCTTGGAACATTCAATATCCTTACCAAATTGTTCTTTGAGCAAGGTCTATAGAAAGGCCATCGAAGTGAGGGATAAGTAGTCTTTATCGCGAATTTGAAGATAATAACACCAGTTTAACATCTTGATACATTTCTAGCTATATTTTTGCATTGCTGACCTTCATGTTTCTCATTCTTAGATTGGATTAATCACTAACTGGGTTGAGCTAATGAGTATACTATTGGAACCCCAATTCTGCATATTATAGCTGATGGGTCTTTGGTGGAATACTTCAATGCAAGGCTTTCCTCTCGTCAATCTGACTCCGACAGAAAGCGACACTGGAATGATTCCATTCCTTCAGGTTGGTTGTGACATTACACTACGAATTACCAAATGATCATGAGTATAGATCGCCAGTAAATCATACCTTTCGTCTCGAGTGTTTCCTCAAGACCACGCTCAACTTTTAACTTACTTACTTGGACTTGAATAGTTGGCCGGTCCACCTTCACAAATTATGAGGACCCCACCACATCTTCCATTTGTCTCGTCTTCTCGCGATTGTCATCCATGGCCGAGGTTTCATTCGGGCACGGCCGCTGGAGCGAGTTTCATATTGTGATCTATAGAATATCGTCAGAATTCCAACATATCTCGCAATTATTATTTAGGTTATCATATCATGTGGTTCCTTGAGTGGGCTGACTTATAGAGCCCGATACTCGTGTTTCGACCTTGACGCGCTCATCAGTCGGACAGTACCCTTCGTCTTTAGTAAGTCTTCCCGGGGCGCTCAGTCCCCTACAAAAAGAGTAAGCGATGACGAACATTTTACACTGCCTATCAAGTGAAAATATCACGAGAAAGATACCGCCCGACTTATGAGACCATCAAGGTCGCAATACGTGTTTCACGCTCTATGATATGCTCAGCCACATGATATGTTGGCTTAAAGAATAATTACGTGATATGTTGAAATTTGAAAGTGGTATTGAGAAACACTCGAAACCAAGGATATGATATACTCAACATATCACCCAAGAGTAATCGAGTGTACAGCACTATCTATTCAGTGATATTTTCACTTGATAGACAAAGTAAGATGGTCGTCGATGCTTACTATTAGTATAGAGCACTGAGCGTCCCGCGAGGATTGGCCAAAGACAAAGGGAGCTTTCTGACTGATAAGACCGTCAAGGTCGAAACACATGTATCGGGCTGTATAAGTCAGCCCATTTAACAGACCACATGAAATGTAGGCTTCAAGAATAATTGCGAGATATGAGGATAGAAATCTTCATGCTTAGCTGTCATCAGGCAGAGGCTGCTACACATGTAACAGCACATAAGACTATGTCATAAAGTTTCTCACGAACTGTCCTTTTCTTTATCCAAAACTTGCACGAGGCCGATATTTTCCTTCTTTCCCTCAAAACTTGGTGGCTAACGTTTCGGCAGCAACACCTTCGTCAAAGCCTTATTTGGTCGTTGAGAGCGGTCACCGGTCTAGTGTGGCACAGTTTACTATGTCATAAGATAATTGATTGTCTATAAGCTACAACGCTCTAGGACGGTTCAGTTCAGTGTTCAAAGATTGGAAATAACAGTTAGTGCAGGAACATCAAAAAAAGTCTTTTAGATGGCGAATGCTAATACGACGAAAATTGGATGCGCTTATAGCGTATGCAACTCCAACAGAGATAGATGTAATCTTTCTCCATCTTCCATAGTATTCGTTTGTGCATATGGGACACCGTAAGTCAATCATCCAAATAATTTTAGAATAGTGGTTGACTTCTATGAAGCTTCAGGCGTATTCAACTCAACAATCCAATATACACGGAGGGCGAACCATGCGACACATGCAATGACACTTGCGCCTACAAAAGTTTTTGCAATAGAACAGCATCCGAGTTGAAGTGTTAATAAATACATCGGCAATTTTACCCCTTTCGTCTTCTCACACTAACATCTTTCACATTATACAGCTTTAAATATGAGGGATGTCTCCTTCGTGAATTGATGAAGCTTATTTCGACTTTACCACATACCTTCGGTGTACTAAAACAATATTTTCTTGCACTACGACTGTTGACGAATTGACACTGCGTAGGCTCAGGAGAAAAGGTCAGCTATGGCCTATTATCTCATATGGCACTAGACTTTGATTTGGGTAACACTTGTTGATTTTCAAATAGAGGTAGTATTATGAATAACTAGAGAAGCTTAAGGCGTTTAGAATAACACTGCGCAATGAGGGGTGGTTACTTTTGTTATGAGGGATACTTATCATGACACTGTATTTATAGAACTATTTGCTTTATGATGAAAAGTCTTCCCTATACAACCACATCCGTGTCAGCGTTTGGAAAAATTTCATAAATCATAATGGGTTCAGTCCCAATATTTTTATAGCCGCTCATTGCATGTGATTAACGTAATTCTTCTCAACGAGTAGAAAGCAATACACGGTGCAGGCAAAGTTCTGTTAATTTTCATGTCTGTCAGCTGGTATTTGAATCGAGATCCCACTCTTTAATGGAGCGCTTACTGAACCGTTGCACTATCGCAGGCCGTTTTAACACCACTCATCAATTGGTTTATTGTAACATCATACCACCTTAATAGGAGGTGAAATAATATGAATTCTGATTGATTATTGAAACCTAATACCCGTCAACATGAGTAGGTTCAATGTCGATAGTGACTGCCTATGCCATACCGAAGGCGATTGGCTGTTGATAGCTAACGCGTTGTAGCGTAAAAGGAGTGGTGTCAAAGCGGGCGCCAGTAGTGCAGCTTCTCAGCATAACGCTTCCGGAAAGACTAAGATTTGGGTTCGATTTCCAGTTGACGAAATGTTTCTGCATACCACTCTACATTATTGTATTTTCTGTAACATTACACCGCAATGGGCGGTCAAATAAAATAAATTCTGATTTTTATTTTGCTGTGCAATATGCCTACACAGGTTTCCGCCGTACTCGTTATAGGTGCGTGTCAAAACCTAGTCGTTTCACAGTCGCTATAATCGATGCTGAACTTTTTGGGGAGGGTCAGCAGAAGTCCCCAGTAACAAAATCATAGGCCACAGTCATTTTCAGGCCTCTGTGATGGTCTGAAACAGTATTTGCGTTCGAAAAAAGCGGCGTTTGTCTTCATCAACAGAAATGTTATAATGAGCTCTGCCAGCTATCACAAGTAAGTTTCTCGGGGCTTATATGAGTTTTAGAGTGCTCAACACTTTGGCACTGATGCATTTACGCATTCTGCCCGCTCAAGGATTGCCATCTGTCAATAGTAGTCTCTAGGTTTTTGAAGCAAGGACATTTGGCCGTTATACTGGCAGAATCTCGACCCAATGGATTATTCTGTTGGTTCAAACTGGAGAAAAAGTCTCGGCTACTCGCTACATTAGCACATTAGCATAGACGCGCTTGAAAAAGCTTGACACGGGCTTGAAATGAAATCACGGTGGATACATGTGCGAGCATCCTGTGCATTTCACTACTGCATTAGTTGACTTTTATCATCCATACTAAGAAATGACGAACAAATAAAACAGTTTTCAGACCAGAATTGAACAAGGAATTCCATATAGTCATCAGCATTAATAAAAAGTTTTGTTTTTTGCTCATCACTGAATTCTCTTAGGTGTATAGAAAACATCATAACACTGCAAAATGCATTAAAATACTATCATCTTCGAGTATTAGTAATTAGAATAGCTGTTTACTCACCTGGGTTTATAAAGCGAAATCGCATATCCGACCAAACCTGCCAAAGGTTGGTGGCTGATAGCTAACATTGAGATGTTGAAGAATGAGTGGTAAGGCAAATGTGCCTTGGTGATGTAGTGGTAGAGCACGCGTCCCCGGAAAGGATAGAATGCGGGTTCGATTCCTGCCTGAGGCCGCGTTTTTGCTCACCATTCAATTTTCTTTGGTATATAAAAAGTCTTGCATCAATGCTAAAATTAGGAAAATGGAAACACAGAACTTCTTCTGCATCCTGTATGGATAAATTGAAAGTCATATTATCAATCAGTGAGCTCATGAGAAGGATCTTTTACAAATAATAGAGCGTGATGAGTAGTTTACGCAGAGGCATGCTCGTAGAACACTTGTTTAGGATGGAATGTGAGCAAATGCAATTATTCCGAATAGAGAGCACTTTGCAGCAAAAAACATCTGTCAAATACTTGAGATAAACACACTTCGTCCATTTGGCCATACCTCTGTTGTGCCAAACCACTCATCTCCAGCATTGATGCTAGCGCAAACTGTTCATTTCTATCACTTCACTTGGGTGAAATGTAGGCAATAATTTCACTAGCTCCGGTTCTAGAAAGCAGTCCATTTTGTAGAAGGCCAAATAACATTTAGTGGAAAACACAACGGAATACATGAGTGGTAATCGCAGTTTTGTATTCCCCACACATTCTATGTGACTCTTTAAAACATCCTAGTATTATCATTTGTCGGTTGAATGACCGCTGCTATATTATACTATGAATTCATGAATACGTAAACGTCGTTTAGAGCGAAATAGGATAGGCACTTCTGTGATTTCTTGATGCGCACACAACATTCAATTCACTGTAAAGGATATAATCCATTAATAATAATAGTCGCTGGCGCTTCACCGCTTTCGCACTGTTACGTAGTCGAAAAGTCAGATTAATACGCAGTCTACTTAGTGAAGCGCTCTCATAACATTACCAAAAATAAATAATCAATAAACTTTAATTCTTTTCCGTTAAGCGGCACGAAACTAAACCAAACCATTTTTCCAAGCAAGAATTTTCTACATTTATTTACTTGGAAACTCAAACGGTCCGTTTTTTTAGAACTCTTTAACTTCTATTCATCCTTCTTCTATAAACTTATAGAAATGTTGGTAAGCATTCGAAATCTTGAATCTTTAGTTACTCCGCTTAGTGTACTTCCTTCAAAACAAACTTTTTATGATGCTGTTGCAGGAAGAAAATTTTTTCGCTCCACATCTATATATTTATCACGAGATAAACTCTTTTTTCACTTTAGAAGTAACCATCGATAGCGGAAGGTTTGACAACTCCGACGCTATGCTTATTTTCTGAAAAACAGCATCACTGCAGTGTATCGTGGAAATAAATGAAGATTCAAATGAGCGCCGCATTTCTCTGTTAGCTAGTGTGTGCTCTAGGCGTGTGCCATGTGTGTGCTGGCCGTGAACAGATACGGATACCAATCGATCGCGCTGTTGCGACTCACATGTGAAGTGCTAATTTTTACTTATTTTTGGATTTTCTCTTCTGTTTTCAAAAAACTTCAGAGAAAAAAATGACTGTGATACTGTAAGATTTCCTTTACACAGCACTCTTGTGAAATCACTGTGTAACAGAAAAATATCCAATTTTTGATTTTTTGAACTTGGAATAGCTTCATTTCTTTCGATAAGCATTCCAATCAAGCTAGTTACGGGGGCTAACCACAAGACTGGTGCATCATTTCCACTGTGACGTAGTGACCTACATCAACTTGGAAAAGATCCCAGACCAGTGGAAGACATGCGCACAGCCATTCTTGTGAAGGAGAGTGACAACAGAGATCTTTTTGACTGTCGCCCATATGCTTTTTGAGTGTACTTTTGAGCATATCATTTCGTATAGAAATATGTGACATGAACCACATCCAGATCGTGCAACACGGGTCCACACAAGTCTGTCGAGAATGTCGTATGCCCTCTGTTCTACTGCGAGCATAAGCAAAGCTATCGAATTTGTAGCACGAAAAGCGGCTCTTCCATCGACCTCCTACCATACCCATCGAAGAAAGGGTTTGTCACAGCGACACTATATCACTAAAGCTATTCACCGTCGCACTGCAGTGAATGATTAGGTGTCTCTACTAAGACGAAGAAGGCATGCGGACCGACGAAAAGTTTCTATCAAATCCTCGATTTGCGGACGACATCGTCGTCTTTTTGAAAAGTACCAGTGAGGCAGAGGCGATGCTCAAGGAACTCGGCGGAGCGAGGAAAAAAGATTGCGTTACGCAAAGAATACAAAGACACAGTCCATGAAGAGTCCACGGTAAAAGGTGAGCACATCCACATGGATGGTCCACTGATTAAGAAGACCACCCCTTAAGTGAACATTGGAGCGTTCAGTGATCACGGAGAACGACATAGCAGTTATTAAGCGAAATAGCTGCTATTTTTCTTTATCTCTTATGCTGTTGACTATCTGTGTATCTAATTACAGATAATCACTATGGCTGCTCGTTGCGTAGTGATTCATATGACCCGGGTCGTGTTTTTCACACCAACTGGCCGATGCATTCGCGCATCAATAATCAGTCTATGCTTCAAACACCTGCCGGCCGGAAGTCCGCGCGACACAAACACTTGTGCCACTCAACTGGCTCAGCCATGAGATGTTTCCCATAGAATTTGGGCAGTGCTGTGCTAAACAGCTATTGACAGTCAAACCGAGGCAAAATCTTAGAAAAGAGTCACCACCCCTAGAGTTCCATTCGTTACAGACGATACTTGGATCTAGGCCGTAATTTCCACCTCTTTGGGCTCTAGATTATCACGGTCATGGCCTAATGTAGTTCGTGTCGCTGTATAATACCTATGTGAATGATTACTGCTCTTTACAATGTGTAGCTCCTCTGTTGATCTAGAGATCAGAGGTTTCGGGCATCTTACACTTAGGCTCGCATCTAATGCACTATTGTGAACATTGCGTTGCATGTCGTGATTGTTGTTTCCTCAATTGCAGTCACGTTGTAAATGTTATCTGCTATTTAATGCAGGCAGTTTGTCACAAGCGATAATTATGGTTTCAGGATTATTACTGTCCTTCATCAAATGCATAGTAAAAGACCCGCGTGACAGAAACAATTAAGACGATCGATTGACCCTTACGGAGGACAACATACACCCACTCACAAAAGGCAACAAAGCCTGACTACCCTACTACAATCACCGGTAGAACTAAACCAATAAAAACGCCTTTTACAGATAAACCAATACAAGCGATGTGAAGGTGGAACTAAGTAGGAAAAGGAAAACAACATGAGCAGCATTTGGACCCCCAAGGAAGTTACCGACCACACAGCGGTTCTCAAATTATATGCTTATGTTATTAATTCGACGGTCATGGTCCCCTCAGCCCTCAGTTACGCAGCAGAGACATGGGGCTATCCTACAACCTCGTCAAGAAGTATGCGTACCACTCACAGAGGGCTCAAGCAAATTTTTTGAAAGTCATGCGCGCATTTCCAAACTCTAGCGGGTTTGGGCAGCTGCAATCTTCGAGAACTGTCTCATATTCATAACCTAAAATTGAATTACACGCATAATAGCTAGACTAAGTGGATCGGTCATCTAATAAGAAGAACAGAACAATAAGGATAATGGTATGATTTCCAAGAAAATCCAATCACTACCATGGATTACCACTGAAAAGATGGATTAACCTATTTGTGGCCAACGTAACCATCTGAATTCGGAGATGACGACGAATTTGGTTTGGGAAAATGAGCCTCGTGTACGTTACCATGCTCGAAGCAGACTACCACCATGGACAACAGTTGCGCGAGCAAGAAACGAATGAAAACCATGCTGGGGCTCACACAACCAGTGAAGACGAACCGTCAAGTATCAAGTGAGTAGGTATGATTAGCTGTCTAAATCCCTTACTAACACTCTACTCTTCAGTGGACAATGGAAATGTAAATTCAAAACAAGGCAGGCGTCGGCAGTTAGTTCGATTATGCTTGTGACCTCGGAAAGGGTGTAGTACGGGCCCGAATTCCACGTGACATCAAAGGCTTACAATCACTCAACATTACTGGGTATATCTTAATCTCTTTGTAAAACTGACACATTATCACTGGAGTGCGCTCCGCCAGCATCTCTCCTTGATCGTCAGAACCGCGCGCCAGTCGGAGATAACCGCCGTGCCAAACGTAACAATCCTTTAGAGACGACGTGCGCTTTCCTAGTCCACTGCTATCAGTGATCATTTTCACCGTAGGTAGTTTTTTTTCACCAAACTTTTACTACACATCCGATAGCTCGAGGAACGGTGACTCTAGCACTAAGATCGCTTCATATGAAAACCTCTTTTCTGAACTGTAGCAATGAAGAAAGGACGACAATTGCTTGCGGAATAAATAGTCTGGAGGATGAAGTTGCCTAGACTATGGCTGTGGAATCTCCATTGCGAGTTCATAAGCAGTCATTACAGCAGTATTTTAATTCTATAAGCACTTTATCGTCACCAAAGTATGGAATATCATTGAGGCGACATACAAACGTATTTTTAATGAGAAGAACGCTCATGCACTTTCAAAAATCCACATCTTTTATTAGAACAGATGTCCGACAATGCTGGAAAAAAATATATTTCACCTCCTACTGTCTATATATACCACCTATTTTAATGACAAACAATCACAGTGATAAAATTTGCATATAGTACAGAATGAATTCACAAGTATTAATATTTATTTAACGATTGTCGAAGTCTTCTCTATTATTCGATGGAGATGTTTATTTGGGAAATTCTTTGTTGATTTCTAAATCTCAACCATTGCGTTAACTTCTGAGAACTGCATGAAATGAAAGAATACCAAAACTAAATTATTTGCATCAAGATGTCTTTGTATATCCCTCCATTTGATTGAATACTAGCAACAATATGAATGCATAGCAAACGAGAGCTTTTTCTGCATACATAAGAAGTATACAAGCATCCAAAACAAGGGAGGGTGTATAGAGACATATACCATCAAAAGAATGAGAAACAGCACAAAATCTTTTCATAACGGAAAAAAACCTAAACCACTGAGCGAAAATCGCGTGCCGTTCGCGAATTGCTGAGTGCTGGATTCCAGCTGTTTAAAGGGGGAGCATTCGTA